AACCTCCCCTCTTCCTGTTTATTTATTTATTTTTTGCTTCCCTGGCTAGCAAGATTCAAGTTAATGAAAACTGTTACACTGTTGTGCAGATATTTGCTCAGGCTAAGGGCCAAGAAATATTGCTTGTCTTATGCCTTAATTTAGTAGGAAAGGAGTAAAGATTTTGACACCCAGAGGAGTTAGTTTTCTACTTGGGCTGCTCTACCTGAAGTTTCATTTGTTATATTGGTGAGTATTACCCTAGATAAAGCAAAAACATTTTAACTGGTTTGGTAAGAGCTTAACGCCAGGGAGTAGCAGCAGAGGAAATATAAACACAGGTCTAAATATTATTTCTGGTCATCATGGCTTTGCCTAACATAGAATTTAGAGCCATTTTCTATATTTTTTCAGAAAACTAAACTTCTCACTAAGGAAAAAAATATTATTAGATTGATGTCTTGATTGGCAAATTGTGATGGGCTATGGGTAGATCTTCAGGCCCTTAGCCTGAGCAAGTATCTGCACAGCAGTGTAACAGTTTTCATTAACTTGAATCTTGCTAGCCAGGGAAGCAAAAAAATAAATAAATAAATAAATAAATGTCATTTTGGATTTGAAGCCAGAGGATCCAGATCTTTCTGAGCCTTGATTTGCCCATCTGTGACATCAGGATAATAATGATTTCTACTTTACTTTGAAGAATGAAATGAAATAGGTAAAAAGCACTTTGTCTAAGACAAATTTTAGTTTTTGTTATTGGAGTAGAGCATGAAATAGTGGATAGTCTTCTGGGCTTTTTAAGATTTTGAAGGGTTGAAGGATAAAAGAAGAATTTAAAAACTGATAGCAAAACTAACACCTGAGGAAGAACAATTTGATAGAAAATAGATGCCCATCATTTTAATTTGGAGCTATTTTATATCACTATAATGTACATTATATGTATTTTTCTTATAAATTGATTAAACAAGTTTACCTATTTACCTACATTTCTTCAAATGGTGTTATAGTGATTTATACAATAGAAATGAACATTAATGGATTGAATAATAATGATAGTATTTTAGTTTCTATTTCACTTTTAATAACATTACATTTTTCTGTGAATTTTATTCTTTGGGTCCAGGAAATTCCCTTTCCATCCTTGGGGCTGCCATCTTGTATTTACTAATTTGGCTAATTTGGTATCTCCTAAGGAATAAGTAACATCCAGAAAGATGGTATTGTGGGATTCTGGGATCACATGGTATGAATACTAATTTTGGTATTGTTACTAAAAGAAAAGATTATTCTATTTTTAATTATTCAGTAGGTTTGTAGAAAACCAAGCTAAATAATGAAAGCCTAGTGTATCTAGTAACACAAATTTGAAAAGATAATAGACTTTAGGAGTTGATATAAGGGAAGCTCTGTCAAACTCTAAGGAGCAATATTAGGAGAAATACAAATGAAGACTACTCTTGAATACAAAGACAATATTGATTCTTACGCCACAAGAGCTTATATGTAGCATCTGTTTGTTTTGGGTTCACACTGATTTGTGCAGAGCTAACTATAGATAACTTATCATTAAACGAATGGCTTATCAAGAACTTATATTTCTTACCTGTGAAACTTCAAAATCTGCCTGGAGATTGCCAGATGCTAACCCACTTAGGAGGACAATTTCATTTTCTTTTGGCTGTTGGACATTCATGGAGCTGATAAGTTTTGGAAGATCTGGTGAAACGTTGACCAACTTCTGTAGGGAAGGAATCTTTATTAGTTTAGATGATTTCTTTTCACTTCCAAAATACCACTCATAAACTACTTTACTTGCAAAAGTAATTTAGTCATAACTGTTTATACTACAGATTACATAATCTACTAAGATTATTACTGCAAGACATTTTTTAAAATTAAAGCATAAGCATTTAGATTGGAATAGAAAATTTAAGCTTTAAAAACTGCTTAGTTGTAATTTTCCAAAGTAAATATTTAGTATTAATAATTACTATCACACATATGTATAAACAGTACTTTGGAAAAATTTTCCCTCTTAAGACTTTGAATAAGATAATTGTCTACTAATAATCTTCTGTTATAATAAAATCAAAATAATAAAAAATTATGACTAACATTGATTCACTCTGATTGTATACTAAGTACTATGCTAAAAACCATATGTATGTTAAATCTTACTGCATTGAATCCTCACAACAACCCTATATGGATTAGGTACCATTATTACTTTCATTTTACACATAAGCAGCCTAAAGTCCAGAGAAGATTAGTAACTTGCACAAGTTTATGTAGCTAAATCAGTGCCAAAGTGTTTGCTCTTAGCCATAGCAGAAGACTGTTTCAAATCACTCATATAAACAAACACATCATTTTTAGATACCAACTTGCTGTAGTCCTCCCTGCTCTCTGTACTACAATTCTATCAGATTAAATTGTGTGTACAATTTCTTTTGAAAATCTCTCAGTACTACACAGATGATGCTATTTGGAGCTTGCCGAGAATTTGTAACGGGTAATCTGTGTGGGCAGCTGGTTTGAGAAGTTTCAGGTGCAGTGTTGTCGATACAGGAGCAACTGAGTAATTGCAGGTCTACTGTTCTGATAGTCAAGTTGCAATTGGGGTGCTGGTAGACAATAAAGAGTATTACACCAAGAGATGAGCTCAAACCATCATCAGCATTGGGCATGGGATCATATCGTATCACGCCACTTAATTCTTCCCATTGTATCAGCAGGCTCGACTCCAAAGGACTGAGTACACCTTCAAGTCCTTGCATGTTTTTGAGGATTTACATCAGGGTCCTCACAACCTTGGATGCAAAAAGTTCAAGCCCCAGATGAGTGTAAGACAAGAAAACCAAGGTTAAAGACAAAACATTTGATGAAAGCAGCAGGAAGATGCAAACCTGAGAGACAAAGGGAAAGGCTGGCTGGTATCAAGCTAACTTTGGAGAAATCTTGGAAAAGTCACCTCAGACAGGATGTTTTAGAGTATAGAGGAAGGGAAGAGCAGAGAAAGCCACTTTGAAGCACTGGTGGGCAAGAGAAAGTGAGGCTGCTTTGACAGTTCTGCCTACACAGGAAAGAAAGCAAGCTTCACAAATGTAAGAAGAATGAACAGGAAGGTAGCAGGGAAAGGGCCAGAGAAATGAATTGGCTATGATGAAACCATCTAAACAGTCTCCTACAAAATGAGCATCATTTACAGATGAAATCACATTGCATAGCCCTTGTGATGAGCTCCTGGACAGCTCGAATTCCAAGCGTTACCTGCTGCAGGTGCTCTGTGCTACATTCATCCTTGTTCACATCCAGGTTCACAAAGCAGACCTGGGAAAGAGGGCAAAAACAGTTAATTAAGGGAAAAACCCAACAGACCTTTTAGAAGAAAGAAAGCAGGAATCAGTTTGGGGCAAATGAATTGAGAGTCCTGTGTATTTTAGGTAATTTGGCAAAGAAACAGTCGTTTTGCCTTTGGGTTTCTGTGTAGATCTCTGACACCCTACTCAGCCTCCCACTAGTCCCAGGAACTGTCCTCTTCCTTCCATGGCCTAACACTAACAAAAGTCTTGGTGTATAGAGCCAATGTAACAACAAAATCTTTAGGTGTATGAGGCATTACTAAATCTCACGGAATAGGAAAAAACCTTGTAATGCTCTAAGTCTCTGTTTATAATTGCAATGAGCATTCTCTCCATTTTTCTCTTTCTTCTTCTCACTTCCTGCTTCCTTTCTCTACCCACTTTTAATAAAGTGCATAACAAGTGGATTTCATTGTTTAGTCATTTTAATTTATTTAACCTTGTTATATAACTGGCCTCTTTGTTAGCCATCTTAGATAAATGTCTGAATCAGTTGGTTTAAAACAATAGCTACGTTATTAAGTAATAATCTTGAACAACGATGAAAGAAGTGCATACAGTCATGAGCCACGTAACGATGTTTTGGTCAACAATGAACCACATATACAACTATGGTTCCATAACATTATAATACTGAATTTTTACTATACCATTTTTTATGTCTAAATATATTTAGAGATACAAATACTTAACATTGCGTTGCAATTAACTTCTGTATTCAGTACAGTAACATGCTGTACAGGTTTGTAGCCTAGGAGCAATAGGCTATACAATATAGCCCAGGTGTGTAGTAGGTGTAAGTGTAAGTGTGTAGGTTTGTGTAAGTACACTCTGTGATGTTCGCATAAAGACAAAATCGCCTAAGGACAGAATTCTCAGACACATATCCCTGTCGTTAAGTGACCCCTGACTGAAATTTAATTCCCAAACACATCACACAGATAGAAAACTACTGTGGCCATTCAAATGAGGCAATGGAGAAGAAAACTTAAGAAAAAGTTTCAAAAAGGTAAGTTATGTTCTTGAAAGATAAAAAGGCTTCTGTTGGGTAGGGAGTGGATCAGAGAGCATGAGTTATACTTGAAGGCGAGAAAATGCAACATGCTGTCAAGAAACAGGGAGTGAGAAAATCTGACTGTGAACCAGGCCTGGGGAAAGGGAAATAAGGTCTTGTTAGGTTTGTGTTAAAGAAGTAATGTGAAGGAGGTTTTATCTAATATTTTGCTAAAAATCATCCAAAGGCTTTTATTACTAACTAGTTGATTTGATTCTACAAAACTAGAATGTTAATTATCTAGAATTTAGTTGGAAGTTTGGACTTATTAGATGCCTGCAAATAGATGGTGTTTTCTGATTTCAGTTACTGTTTGGGGTCATGGTTTCTCAGAGTCCATTCTTTTTCCTTTTGAGGTTAAAAACATAATTGAAAGATTTTACAAAAGCTTTTAAAGGCTAAAATAGTTTATGCATCGCTGAAGTGTAAGATCACTACTATTTTCTTCCCAAATAATGGGAGATTTTTCTCAAGTCTCATGGGCTTGCAGGGTAATCTTTGCAGTGCATCTCCAGGATGTGGCATCTGCTTGTTAAGGGTAACTTGATGGGCATTAGGGAGCAGGAAGGGCATGAGAGGACCCGCACTCTCATTCTCAGGTTCTTTTCCTCTTGGTTAATAAGATGGGGACATAGGGAGGGCCTGCACATGAGTCCCTTTGCAGACAGTGCAAATGCAGCATGCATAGTAGATGGAGCTCAGAAACAGTTCATGATCTAGAGCAGTTTGAGAATATTCAAGTAATTGAAACTTTGCCCTTGGAAAACCAGGTCAATATCCATGGGTACTGAGGGACTTTTAATAACATGCAGTTAGGGCTGCAGTTACTGAATTGATGAGGTGATTTGCCATTCACCTTAAAGAAAGTCCCATTACCTTGCCCCTGGGCATCAGAAAGCTCTTATTATTCTGCATCACAGTGGGAGAGGGCAAAGCAGAGACCAGAGACCAAAGAAGGCATTTGTTAGAATGATTTGTCTGCCTTCCAATATTTTCTTTACTTCTCTGAGGATGAATTCTCTTTTCATGCATTCTGGGCTACAATATGAAACTCTACCTACATCTAGAGGACATCCTACACATTTTTTAGCTGGGCCAAGACAGGAACAAAGAGACACAAACCAACCACTTACTCATACTTGACACATGTGTCTTTCTATGTCTTGGTGGGAGAGGATGACCCAAGATTTTTGGAGGCCTGATGTGCATAGAGTTTGTAGAGACCCTCTTTAAGAAAAGGAATGACAAAATCAAAAATTCTAAATTAGGTGTGAAGATGAATATTTACTTATTTAGAAGGGAAACAGAAATCACAACAAAACTCAAATTTAAAAAGGCTGACAAATACCACCAACATGAAAACTTCCAGAAAAGGGATATTTCAACTAATCAACTGCCCAGGACACCTCCATAATACTTATTTTTTACATTTTTGGCTATATACTTTTTGATCATCTCTTTATATGAGAGCAGTTTTGAAATATCATTTTCTCTAGAGAAACTAGAAACATAAGCCAGTTTTCCTCTACTATTGTTGACTGAATTTTTTTCAACTTCCAAATTTTTATTGATAATATCTTATGTGTTTTTCATCTTATTGTCAAATTCTGTGGGAAACTATTATATGGTATCTTTCATATGTGAGTTGTTATAGGCATACTCACTTTTTGTAGTACTATTATAGCTTTGTACTCTACAGATAGAAGAATTTGGATTGATTCTCTTTTGTGTGATTCCCATGCATGGTGCTTTTATAATTTTCAGTGTTGTGTTGTCAATGAATGCCTGCCAGGAGAGAACTTCTGGTTAACTAGGCATCAGTTAGAACCCAATCTTGTATTTAAATTCTACACATCTGATGACTGGAAGAATTTTACATAGAGTAACTTCTAGCATGTGAATCTTATTTTCTCTCCATTACCTACATATAATATTTTTGGTATCAGAGAACTGTAGGACATGCTCATACGTTGGTATCCCTGACCTGACAACTTTGTGTGGCAATGTCTGGTTGAGTTGTCACTCTTGATGGTAGAAGTATTCCCGGAAGTCATTCCTACATGTGGATGGCTAGCAATCACTTAACTGTACATGAAAGTGACCTCAAGCCACACAGATATATCTCATGTAAACACAACCCCACTCAGTTTCCCTTGGGCCAGATCCCATAATAGCCTATGGTCACTCCAATGACTCTCAACATGAGGTGAGATAACATGTAGTAGGAGTCTAAATGGGATGAGACAGTTGTAGTTAAAATATCTTACTTTTGAAATGTTTACAAAAACACATAGCCATGCAAATACATTGCTAGGCCCTGTCGCAGGACCTTGGAATGGGGCCTATGTACCTAAGAACCCTGAAACCTAAGCCTTGATAGTTTTATAGCAAATCCTCTTCTGGTGAAATGGTCCATGTGGCCTGATTGCTCTTGGCAAATTTTCAGTCTCTATGACCTTGGGCTGTTTACTTGAGATTTAGACATCCACTAATGCTGAACTCCAAGTAGAGAACATAGTACAAGCCTCTGGTGGGTATAGGTTAGTAGGTTTTGATGAGGAGACTAAGTTTTCTACATCTTCAAAGTGTGTGGTCTTGGTGCTGTGTGCTGAGAAGACAAACAATACAAGGCACTGCTCTTGCCCTCAGGGAGTTTTGATCTGCCTAGAGACAGGATATATGTCTAAGAAAATAATAAAAAATTATGTGCTGTGTGTGCTGGATAAGGGAGTTTGGAGAACTGGGTCAATAATAAATGACATCCCAGAGAAGGCTGGATTTGAGATGAGCTTGGAGGACAAAGGGACACATTTAAAAGCAAAAAAGGGAAAATTGCACTCAAAACGAATGGGTGCTTTTTCCCTGATCAGCACCTGTTGATCAATGATCTGGTAAGAGGCTCTATATAAGTAGGAGGTGAGGAGAAGGAGACAGAGGCAGAGAAGGTGCTTCCTAGAGGAACTCCAGGAGTGAGATCGAAGCTGGTGGGCAGAATGCCTTTCCTCTTACACAGTGAACACCAGGTATCATTCAGGAGACTTTTTGTCTACTGACAAACAGAGCTGAATGAAAGAGGAAATTACAATTTTATGATACACTCTCTGTGCAATGAGAATTGAGAGCGGCCTACCAGTTAACATTAGATATTAATATTTCCCTCCTTGTCAGTGAGTCTACTCCATTATCACAGGAGGTCATGAAGGAAACTTACGGTAATGGGAACCCAACATAAAGTATTTTGGGGAGTGGAGCAAGGAGGGTTAGGGTGAGTGTTATGTGTGACTAAAATGAGAAAGCTGGGGAGATTCTGCATATGGTTCTGTGAGCTGGAGGGAGCCCTGTGGGCGGGAGGCTGGGCCTGTGCCCCACACACCAGCCCATGAAGGATAAAGCACAACCTCTGTGCTGACCTTCACCTCGGTCTGCAGTGATGCTATTGAGTTATCTGTAAAATGCCTGAGTGAACAAATCCAAATATGCCAAATGATCCAGGGAAGGATGTTTCTTAAAGTATGTGTGTGTATGTGATCACCTTTTTTCTTGAACGTGCAAGTAATCTATGTTCCTTCAGCTTTCACTAGATATTAGTTCACGCGGGCAGGCCCTGTTCCTCACTGTATCCTCCGGGCTTAGCATGGTGCCAGGCATTTGTTAGATGCTCAATAAATTCTTCTTGGTAAATAACATATAAATAAATGAAGTGGCAGCACTATCTCGGGTGATAGCGTACAAGAGAGGGACACTTACAATAACTATTTCCCTTCTTTATGTGATGAATTCCAATGCAGTCAATAAACACAATTTTCTTCCAATAAAGATATAAGGCACTATATGGAGAAGTTAGAGGAGAATTAACTGAATTAATAATCCAGCTATTGGCTCCTATTTAAAGCACTTAGATTGGCTGCTTCTTCTCACAAATAAAGATTTGCTAAAAAATAGAGAAAGACAAAATGTTGAGAGCCATAATTGGTAATAAAGACACATAAAAGGTGTTAACATTTGTCTTGGAATAGAAGCTCCTTTCTCTTCACATAAAATACATGTCGTTTGAGTCTGCACATGTCCTTGTTTAGACCATCTGCGGACATACTCAGCCAAAGCAGATGGAAACACAACATCATCCCAAGGGAACACAAACACTTCTTTTCTTACTTAACAAAGCTAACTTTGTGGTTGTACTCTAACTTTTATACTCCAATGCTGCTCTTCTATCATTATTATGGTTTTAAAATGAAACATTATGGGAATAAATATCAAGGAGAAAATTATGCTACTTTATGATTTTGACTTTTACATAATCTAATTAAATATTCTTCAAAACTGTTTATACATAGCAAAAACGTAAATGTTTCTAGGGCATATGCTGGTTTCTCTGTTTAGCATGGGTTATTTAGTCAAGCAATCTCAATTATTTCTTTTATTTATAACTCTTTTCATAAATGAAGCTCCATGTAGACATTTGTAAGCATAAAATTTTACTGATATTTTATTAGCTAGTGATATAAAATATATGTTTTGTGAAAAACTAAAGTGAAAAAGAGGTTGATGTTAAAATCTAGTAAAGCACGACAGAATAGAATAATTTTTAAGTGGATTGTAATTTGTAGTAACTTTTGTGAGGTAACTGTATTTGCTAAATAGCTTTATTTGGATAAGAATTAAGTCATACAAAAATAGTACTATTATATCAGATAAAAAAGTTTGACTTTTTGAACTGAAAACATATAAAAAACTGATGATGATTGGCAGCATCCAACACGTATCACATGTGGATAGCTTAATGTTTTCATGTGTTAATTTTAGTCAACATTTTAGGCTGTTCTGAGAGTCAAATGCAATCACAAAAAAATGTCATTGTATTATGCATCCACTACAGGCAAATCACTGTGCAAGAGGTTAGATGACAGCAGGGCTTTTAACCTAGAATGTGAAATCTTTAATTTCCTCTGCTGGGAATGTTTTTTTTTTTCCTCCTGAAGTCAGCTAAAATTTTAAGGAAATCATTCTTAAAGAGATCCCATTTAGAAAATATTAACCAAAAGCATGATGTCAAATTGCCTTTCAGTTCTAGGCACTTGTGTGTTGGATATGATCAAATATATGCTTATAGTTTTTCTTAGAAGAAAACCAATTCCTTCTTTCAGCAGCTACTAACAATGCAGCCATCTGGCTGTGTGGGATATGACAGGATCTCTTAATTTGGTGTTATCAAAATGCTGATCCACAAAGCTTCCAAAGGAAAAATTGTTTCCTTTCTTCCAAAAGACTTCTGTTAGATTCAAGACCCTGGACCAGAATTATCTTCTAAAGAATATGGCATTTTCACTGATTAGTCCTTTAAGCTGATGGTACTAAAATGGTAATTTTTTCATCAATGTTGTTCTGCTACCATGCTGTAGACATTCTGGAGCACACTTGACCACATGAGAAAATATTGCATTTGTATACAGTTTTTGCTTTGAAATGATTGCAGCAGTCACACAAAATGAAATAAAAACTTTTACTAATATTTGAGACTGTCAAATTTCTCTGCTTTTTTAAATTGTCAATATATTTTTAAAAAATCTTTGAAATGCAGTTTTTTGGGATAGTTATTCAAGCCATTTGTGATAAAAGGCACAGGAAAGGTATAGAAATTTCTAAAAGATGAGAGATCTTTTAACTAAACATACATTCAGCCAATTTTATTGCTAGCTTAAAAAATAAATTAAAAAACATAAATATGCCACTCAAGATTTGTTTTGCCACAAACATTTTAAGATGTTTGCTGTCTTAAAAGTCATTTCTTTTGGAACAAGAGGATATACTTATATGTAATGTCTGATGTACATTTGCCAGATAAGTAACACATTATATTTATTTTAGATTTCCATTATAAATATTTGTTACTAGCAAGTGTTTCCTTCTTGCAAGTAAGCCCTAAGTAATTATTAATATTTGGACCAGATGAAAGTCGGAAACTCAGTAGACCAATGTGTTTCTATACTTCACCTGCTTGGAAAAATGTTCTCTGGCTTATACAAAAATAAAGTGATAATAGAAAATTACCCTATTTTAAATACATAATACCATAGGATATTTTCCTGCATGGGTTTTTAGGAAAAACCTTTTTGTGATTTATGAGACTCTGGCAATTTCTCTAGGGTAGCTATTTCCTGCTGTCCATCAGTCAGCAATTATTTGTTGAATTCCACTAAATGCCGATACTAGGCTGATCATGTGAGGACCTGTTCTCTCAGTTTAAGGCAGACATGCTGGACACTAATTTTTCTCTGGGATCAACATAATTTTTACCTCCAAGGGCCTTCAGGAAGGTTAAATCAGGATTCTCCAAGTATTTGTTTATGAGAAGACAGTTCTGTGTTCCCTGATACCTTACAATCACTGAAGAGGGAATAATCTTGGCGGAGAGTCATTGTACGACAAATAGTTGCTGGCTGAATCTGGATGGTGATGGTGGAGCTGAGGGTGCTGGCCAGGGTGGGAAGTGTGCAGTGGCTGGCTCTGCTCCCAGCTCCCGTGCTGTCGTGGGGGAAGGATACGGTAGCCAAGTTCAATGGCTTGTCAATGGTCAGGTGACTAGTTGGGAGTCTTAAGGCTAAACAGCAACTATGAGGACTACTCTGATTTCCTGAAAGCGGGAGAAGAAAATGGAAGTGGAAATGAAAGTGCCCAGAGTAGGAGAAAGAAGAAGTGAAAGAGAAAAAAAGAAAAAACAAAACCCCAAGCAAATAAACAAAGAAAGGAAAACGACAATAGGGCATGACATTATGTACTGGCTTACTGCTGGAATGGACTGTATTCCAGGTCTGAAGACTAAGTTTAAACTTTGGTTCTGCTTCAGCGGGCTTTAGGACTATGAGCACTGATGTTCCTGTGTGGCACATCAAAATCACTTGGGCAGAATCCTTGCATTTGCATATTCCTGGGCTTTCCACCAGAGCTAGGCAACCAAAATCTCTTAGGTTGGGGCCTGAGGCTCTTTACTCATTTATTTATTAATTATTTCCATTGTTATGTATTTATTTTTTAAAGATAACTTTACTGAGATAATAACTTTACATACCATGTGACATACCCATTTGAAGTGTATAACTCAATGGCTTTTAATATATTCATTGTTCCCAAAGGAAGCTGTACCCATTACCAGCTACTCTCCATTTCTCCCCAAATACCTTCTCCCCAGCCCTAGGCAACTACTAATCTACTTTATATCTCTATAGATTTGCCTGTTCTGGACATTTCATATAAATAGAATCATACTATATTTATTTTTTTTGTGACTGAGATAGAGTATTTATAAAGAACAGCTATTTCCGAGAATGTAAAATAACTAAAATCTGTCTCCTGGACTGTAACTACTTTTTCTGCCACCCAAGTTCTATTAATATTTATTTGGTATAAATATTTATTTCAGTTTAATTATGTAAACATTATTTGTTGATGAAAATATTAAATTGCTTTTTTCTGAGCCTATATTACTTATGTATAAGTACAGAATGTTACCTTGTTTTTCAGGGTGATGGATCATTTAATTAATGACTTCCCTGTTGTTCCTGGAAGTGTTTATGACTTAATTCATCTAAATGCCCACCAGCATTATGCATGCTGCCTATTATCATGTGTCATAAAACCAGTGAATGATTGCAAGGGACGTGAAATAGATATCCAACTACATATATGGAAGTACAAAAAGTTATAATTTACAACAGAAATGTAGACATGTTAAAAACATCAGCTATTACTTAATCATCATTATTTAGTAAATTTCTACATAGGAATAGTGCTGTTTGAGGGGAACTTGTAGAGCTGGAGACAACAGATCCTTTGTTATTAAGAGATAAAAATACTGGATCAGAATGAGTAAATACCAACTTTGATATGCAGATCAACCACTTGAATCCAATGTATAATTTCAATTTCTCAACATAATGTATGAAAGGATATATGAGTTAGCTTTATTGTAAACATTTTAAAAGATTAGTTGACAATGTACTTTTCATTGCTGTTGAAAAGCTAATCAGTTAATTGACAAAAATCTTCCTCCGGTATGATGAGATAATCAATTTTTGACTATGGTATAAGAAAAAATGCTATAGACATCAAAAACTAATCAAAAATATTACATTTTAAAATTGTGTAGAATTTTGTGTTTTAATTCTTCCACTAAGCTTCCATTAAAGATTATTTCTTTTTCACCTTTAAAGTAATAAAATGTCATAACCTCCAGCGGTTACTTTCTTTCTCTTCTTAAAGTCCTATACATTTGCACAAAGAAAATGTAAAAAAAATAGAAAGTTTCATGTTTGTAGTCTGAATAGCTCAATTATTTTAGAGTGAATGAAAGGCAATACAAACACTGAAAATCATTGGGAATAAATGATAGTGAATCTAATTTTAACATGCAAAAGAGTTTATTTACTAGACATCTAACTTGTATATCTCATATTTTTGACAACCAAACTGCTAAATAACTCCAAATTTTACCTCATGTATACTTGAGTAAGTATTCTGTGCATCTTTAATAATTAAGTGATGCTGCAAGTCCATTGATATAAGTAAAATGTATGAAAAACAAAAACTCAAAACAATTACTAAATGCACATCTTGGGTGATTCTACACAGGAAAGTGGAGTAGGATTAGAAGATTTTGTCCTCGAATCTAGCTGCAAAGAGAGGAAAGATCCTTCTCTTTTTTTGAATAGAACTATCCAGATTGACTACTGATAAAAGGCATCAGAAAGTGGTGCATTGTTCCCCTGGGACTCTCAGAACCACTCTATTTGGCTGTTCTAGGTCTGTATATGAAGCCATTAGCCCAAGGCGTGTATCCGAATTATGGTTGTTATATTAATAGATTGGATTCACAGGACCTGTTAGAGACTCATTAATTTAAACTTTTCTAACAGACTGGCAAATGTTGAAAAGTAATCTCCTTTTTAAATAAATGACCATTGAATTCAAACTTTTGAGAAATGGAATTCTTAGATCTGTAGTTTCCACATAAATAGATAAAACAATTAGAGAAAAAAAAAACACAAGAAAATATGAGAGGGAACATCTATTATAGGGAAAAGGATAAAAAATAATTTTTCCTATTTGTTTTCTTAGAAAACGATTCTAATTAATGACTAAAATAGAAGCTGGAGGACATAATGCTAGGTGAAATAAGCCAGACACAGTAAGATAAATACTATGTGATCTCACTTATATGTTGAATCTAAAAACATCGAACTCCGAAGCAGACAGTCGAACTGGGATTGCCAGAGGTTGAGGGTGGAGAAAATTGGGAAATGGCGAAAGGGCACAAGCTTTCAGTTTTAAGATGAGTAAATTCTGGAAAGCTAATATGCAGTGTGGTGACTATAGTTAATAGTACTGTATTATTTACTTGAACTTTGGTAAGAGAACAGATTTTAAGTGTCCTCACCACCCCTCAAACAGACAAATGGTAATTATGAGTGGTGATGGATATGTTAATGAATTTGTAGTAATCAGTACACAGTGTATACATATATCAAGTCATCAGGTGTATACCTTGAACATATACAATTTGCATTTGTC